CTAGCTATTTTGGGGAAATTACATGATTCAAAGAATATATTGAGATTCTATGGTCTTTCTACAGTTGATGATTCAACAGTTATGGTTCTTGAATGGGCAGAAATGGGAAAGTTGGATGATGTTTACAATAACTATGTCATTAGTTGGCCTGAAAAAGTATCCATAGCTCTTGAAATTTGTCGTGGACTTATATTTTTACACTCATGTAAAATCCTTCATCATGATATACGTTGTGGAAATATTATGGTAACCAGTACAAACATATTATGTGTATATATATATATATATAAATGTAAACATAGAAATAGATTCATCTAAAATAATATTTATTTTATTTATTTGAAAATCAGATGACTAACAAAAAGGAACCAAAAATTGCAAATTTTGATTATGCTCGTGATGTTCAAGATGCAACTAGAGAATTGAAAAATTTAACAGTTGTTGTTCATTGGTTAGCACCAGAAAAGTTATTACATGCTTTTAAACAATCTTATAATTTTAAATGTGAAATATTTAGGTAAAAGATGATTTTATTATTATATAATATGCAGAATGCATACCATGGTATCCTCATATTTTTATTTTATTTTGACATAAATTAGCTTTGGAATGTTGCTTTGGGAGCTTGGGTTTGAAAGAATCCCTTATGACAAATGGGATATTCCAAAAATTCGAGAATATGTATTGAGTTCCAAAAGAGAATTGGTTACTTATGATGATGATGATGAAAAAATGTTAAAACTACAAGAAGAATATTCAAATATTTTTATAGGTGGTAAGTTATCAAAATTGTAAATTATATTTTTTGATCTTTGTATAGAAAATAATAAAATAATAATATTCAATGTTTTTTATTATTCTATATATTATTCTAACAAGCCTGGAGAGATGATCCTACAACAAGATCATCCCTTCAACATATTTTCTTAAAATTGGATAATTTGGCCTCAAAATATGGTAAAAGCAATGAAAATATTCCATTTCCCAAAAAAAGGAGAAATCCAGATGGTACTATAGCACGTAGTAAACATTCTGTTTCTGTTAGTGATGACAAGGGATTTTTAGAAGCTAACAAACCTGATTCAATTATGCCGATTATTTCACTTGAAGAAGGTCTTCGAGCACATAAAAATAAAGAGAGGGGAAAGGCATGGATTTGTTTCCAAGCTCATGCTGAATTAGGAAGTCCATTAGCTAAATATTGGAAAGGATATTATTTGTATGAAGGATATTGTGGTCATGTGGATAAAGAAAAGGCCATTAGGTTATTTCAAGAAGCTGCTGATGAAGGAAGTGGTGATGCTCAATTACGTTATGCATTTGCTTTGGTGAATAATAAAAAATTTGATAAAGATTTATTTATTAGGTATCTTACATTATCCGCTGATAATGGAAATACAACAGCTAGATTTAATTTAGGTGATTTGTATTATAATGGGAAGCTTGGATCTCCCAAAGATATAAATAAAGGAATTAAATTTTTGAAATTAGCTGCTTTAGACAGACACCCAAAAGCAATTGAATTATTAGGCAAATTGAAAATTGATGTTTATAGAAGTTGAGAAATTACATTTATTGTTATATGGGGCATTGGGGTGTTAGACAGTGTTGGAAATTCGACGATCTTATGATCTGCAAAAAAATATTTGCGCACATAATTGTGATCAACAAAAAAATTTATTTAAATTATATAAATAAAAATTATAAATAAAAATTACAAAAAAAAATTTTATGAATTAATCCTCCTATTTTTTTTATTTTCCCAATATTCACATGCTTTCTCAAAATTAAAGTCTTCAATTTCAGGTCCATTTAGTAAAATCATCAAATGATTATTTAATGTATCAAGATTCATTTTGTTCCTTAATTTATTCTTAATCAACTTTGTTTGGGAAAATATCCTTTCTACATTTGCATTTGAAAGAGGTATAATAAGAGATATTTTAACTAAAAGGGATATGTTTGGGTAATTAAATGAAAAGTCTTCATCTGTGTCAAAAATGAATTTCCATAAATTAATAAAATCTAGTTCATTAGATTTTTTAAGTTGGAGGATAGATTTTACTAAACACCATTCTTCAAAAAGTTTGTCCTTATCAATAATTTCTTGAAATTCATCACCATCTACAAATTTAGTTTCTCCATAAAATTCACTAAGAAATTCTATCTCTTTATTTCCATACAAATTTAGTTATTCATCATCATCTGGGATTTCTTTTGGATCAAAGATGCTAAATGAGCTATCTAATTCCATTTGTGGAAATCTTCTTTGAATAGCATCAATTTTTGCAATGGAATACTCTTTAATAAATGGCAGAGAATTAAAATTATGCTTATTTAAATATTCTTTGAAAATGAAACCATTGTTAGGTGGAAATTGCTCATTACCAATGAATTCATACTCTATTTCATTTATTGTATTGTTGAGGCTTTTTTTAAATTGAGATAATGATAAAAAATCTAGTTGGAAAGTATTGATCAATTTCTTTAGAATATTTGTTAAGTCAGCAAAGTACATAGTTGCAAAAATAAAATCTTGATCCAACTGATTATACAATAATTCAGCTTGTTTATCACCTTCATTAACATAATCATTAAGAGTTGCAAGTACTGAATTCAAAATTTTATACAAATTACTAACAGAATTAGAAAAGGACAACCATCGTGTTTCACATAAATTTAAAATCTTTAGTGTTGGTTCATCATTAATGTCTTGCATCATTCTTAACATGTTTTGTCTTTTATGTGATTTAGAAAAAAATGCATACAAATTTTTTAAGGTTTCCTCATATTTTTCAAAACATAAAACTTCATTAGAAGCATCTTTTCCAGCCAAATGTAGTCTATGTGACACACAATGATTAGATGACATGAATGGATTTATTTTTTTAAGTCTTGCAGCAACACCACTTTTATAACCAGTCATATTAGATGCACCATCACTTCCAAAATGAATTATTTTTTGAGAGGTTATTACTTTGTCATCACAAAATGATATTATTTGATTAAAAATATTTTCTCCATCAGTTGATTCCAAATCAATCATTCCCAAATATCTCATGTATGGTATGTTATCCACCATGTATTTTCCTACAATTGCTAAATACTTATTATTAATAGTATTTGTCTCATCAATCATAATGCTCCAATATGGAGATGAATTCAATTCTTCAAAAAGTTCTTTTTGTATTACAGAAACTATACATTCTAAAAATTCAGAACTAGATTTATTATTAGCATAACTCCCATATGTTGATTTAGATAATGATGGCTTTGCTATGGACGCAGGTTTTAAATTGAATTTTTTATCATTAGTAACTTTGTTTTTTGTCTGCAAGAACATTAAATTGGACATATCAGGATATACATTCAATGAAATATTTTTTTTTGAACAAAAATAAATAATTTGCATCAATGAAACTATTGTTAATTTTTTGGTGCTCAATTGATTTATAAACCCTATCTCAAATAATTCAAACTTTTTATGTGCATTAGAATTTGAATGTTTTTTAATTCCTGATAGTCTTAAAATTAGATGAACCTTTTGCAAAATTGGTATTCCCATTTTGATCTCTACAGATTTTGCAATATAAGATTGTTTTTTCATTGGAAACTTCAACTTCTAACCATGGATATAATTTAAACCATTCAGGATCAATGGTTTCTCTATTATGTGATTTTTGTTCATCTCCAGAACTTATAGTATTATCACTACCAATTGATTCATCATCAGATATCTCAAAAATTTCCATTTGGTGAACTGGAGTATTATGAGCTTTGGCAGAAAAATCAATTGATGAAGTTGATTGTTCTAATGTTTTATTTTTTTTTAGGATTTGAATCTTCATCAATGAATAAAATTCTTTTAGTAATTTGTTTATTAGACATTTTTAACTAAAATTTTTGAATTTTTATTAAAATTTTTTTATATAGTAAGTGTAAGAATTATTTTTCAAAAGTCAAAATTAAATATTCTACTAACAAATATTTTAATTGTTGTAAAATATGAGTCATCTTTATTACCTTGAAAGATGTCTTTTTTTATAATAAAATTAAATGGATTGATAATATAAATAAAATATAAATAAACATAAATAAAATAAATTAAAGAGCTAAATAAATTAATGTTACAAATAACGTTTTACAAAATATATTTTTATCTGGTACTACATATTATAATTTGCACATAAAATGTTCCACAAATTTTGTGTAACTTGCTGCGTCCGCACCCTCCGCACCCTGAATTTCCAACACTGGTTGTAAACCTGCACACATACTAAACATTAAGCGATGATTGTGAGATTGGTGGATGATCTGCAAATATTTCCTACATTAATATCCCAACACTATAACACATCCTCTTCAGATTTATACTCTTCGTCGACAATGGATGCAGTCACAAGTGGAAAGAGTGAAAATAAAGCGATTTTCCACAAGTTAAAATTCAAGAAACTTGATTTCACTTGCTTGCTTTGGTTGAATAAGGGAAAGGGTAGATCCTTTGAAAAGAAAATATTTGTTTATATGAAAGTTTCATCCATAGACTTATTTTATAGACAATGCATTTGTAATCAATAGTCATTGTTTTAATTAGTTCATTGACAAATAAGTTTATAATTAAAGAAAGCCCTTATTTTTTTGTGATGATCCACTAGTGACCACATATATATATTAACACACCACACTATCTATACATTGACATGATTACTGATAATTAAATTGATTAATTGCTGAAATGGCATTTTTATATCTCTTTAAAGGTGTGGATGAATAAATAAATAAATATTATATATGAAATAAAAATTTAACCAATCATTTAGCAACTTTTTATTTTATTTTATAGTACTGTAGTAGAAATCACTAAGATTAAAATTAAACAATTGAATAATATTAATATTTTATCTTAATTAAGCATAAAACTTGTGATAATTATTATTTAATTGGTTGATCAAAGTGGAAGAAGAATAATATTTATTATTTATTATTTCATAAAAATCAAACTAATTTAAAGCATGTAAAAGTTTCCAGTAGAATTCAGATGTTTTTTCTTTTGAAAATAAAATTTCTTCTTGAAGAAATTGAGGTAACGATTTCAACAATATAGAATCCCTTGTAGGATCAATACAAGGAGAATACACATAAATACCTGGATGATCAGGCGTGGCTGAAAGTTTAAAGACTAAATCTATTTTTAAAAAAGAATGCAAAATTGTTTAAAATATACACACATACATATACGTGTATACCATTTAAGTAATTAATAATTAAGTGTTGATACTTACCACCTTTTTTACTATTTTGAAAACATGAAAGTGTAAATTCGCCAGCAGATCTTATTTTTACATTTTGGATCAATAAATTGGTAAGATCCTCATATAAAGTATTTTTAAATGATTGTTCAGCATACTTTGAATTAAGTTCATTTGTAGAAGTTGCTTTAGCCAGTCTAGCACTAAGTTGTTTACTATTTTGTAACTCCAAATTAAGCTCAAGTTCGAGCATTTTTACTAATTTAATAAAATAACAAATAACAAATAATAATAATAATAATAATAAAGAGATTTTAGCAATGAAATAGATGTGTTTATATTTATTTGTAAAATGGTTGATCCTAACCTCTTTCACGTAACTTCACCAATTCATCATCCTCCTGAGATGCTTTAGCTTCCTTTACTTTGCCTTTATATGTTGATTTCTTTTGTTTGGAATTGTTTTCTTTTTTTTTTTGTGTTAATAAAAACAACAACAACAATTATTATTATTCTAGTTTTATAATTTTATTAAAAGAATATTGAAAATATTATTTAATATATATACCATTTATTGTCTTTTCTTTAAGTTGTCGTGTACTTTCTACTTTTTTACGTGGCTTGACTTCTAATTGAACTAGGGTATATTCTTGTGCTTCTCTTTTAGTCTGAGATCTCTGTGAGTAGTTTATACATTTAATGACGATAATGGACATTAAAATTAATATTATACATTTAATGACGATAATGTATATTAAAATTAATATTGTAGAGTTTGTAGTTTTAATGCAAGTGTCCATTTTGTAAAAATTAATTGCTGTAATTACCGTTCGCATTATTAGAGACTAAATATAAACTTGTATTTTTTTATTCACTTGATCTTAATACGTGTTTGTCACACCATACACCTGTCCATTATAAAGCATTTTTTTTTTTTTTATTAAAAAAGCTTCAAAGAAAACGTCATTTTGAACATAAAATTGGGCCTTTACACTATTATTACATGAGGCCCATATTAATATTTATTTTTACAATACGAGATCGGTAATAAATTATGACTCTGTAGAAATTCGATTTGCGTAATTTGCGTACCATAAAATAAAACGAAAACTGAGCTAAATATTATTAACATAATTAAGGCTTCGGACAAAACTTTCACCTATCTCCCCCTCATATCAGGCTTTCTTGCTGTTACCATATGACATTGATCACTGATGAGGATCAGTATTTGTGCGTTATACCTCTCTAGAATAAAGTTGGTATCTGCAACTAGTTCAAAATCTCCAATTTGGAAGATTGCAATCTGGGTTATTGTTTTGGATTCAGAGTTTTGAGTCCTGGGGAACTTATCCCCAAGTCCTGAGGTTGGGACCAAGACATAACGTGGATTTATGGAAGGTGCATTTATGGAGGTCTGACTATATTATTATTTTATTGATATTGAATTTTTTTTATTAGCAATTATATTTCTTTGTTTATTTTTTTAATGTATATATTAACACTATTATTTGGATAATAATAATTAAAAGTAATTGAATTCATTCTTTTACACAAAAGATTATTATTATCTATTATTATGTGAGGCATTGACAATAGAAAAATCCAAATAACGTTTTTTATTAGTGTGTACTTACTCAATATGTAAAAAATAAAAAAATAATACATTTACGTCTACCTTTTATGCCTCAAGTCAATCATACAGCATTCATGTATAAATAACATTTTTTAACAGTATGTACTTTCCAATATGTGATAAATAAATACATATTAATATGTATACATTATGACTACCTTTTATGACTCGAGTCAATCATAGAGTATTCATGTATAAATAATGTTTTTTATTAGTATACTTATTATTATCCAATACTGGTATGTAATAAATAATATGTATGTATGTGTTGCTCTAGCATGATTGCCTTTACGTCTAAAGAAATAAAAGAAAAGAATAAGAAGTGCAATTGAATCATTAATGTTTGTGCACCTTGGTAAAAAATATGTATATTTTTTGGAATTTTTACCTAGAATAATTGATTTTTTTTCAAAAACTATATAACTCATGTCAATTTTAAGAAGACAAATTATTTTGGATTACGCACTCACTGTAGGAGTAAATTTATATTGATATTCATAAAAATTGGTTTTTTAAAAAATTAGAGGTTGGAATCGTCCAAAAAATCCTTAGTCGACTACTAGTTGGTCAAAATTTTCTTAGTCGACTAAATAATAATAACAATAATAATAATATTTCGTTTTTTTTTTTTTTTTAATTTGTAAATTATGAATTCATTTCCATTTGAATCTTTCACTTTTTTAAAATGCTTCCACACAAACCATATGTTACGATTCGCTTTTTTAAAGGTCTTCTGGAACCACCGCTTAAATCATGGGAACTTGAAACAAATGAACTATTGGACCTTGCACTGGAAGTGTTTATTCATTCGCATGTAAAATCATCATCAACAACACCACTACTATTGTCGTCATCATCATATTGATGGTATTGATACTCTTCTACATAGAGATTTTCCATTTTGAATAATATTATTAGCATAGTATTAGTATTAGTATTAGTAGCATTAGTAGTCGATTCCAACCTCTATAAAAAATATTGTAATGAGTTGTCATTATAACGGAAGCGACTTGTATATATATATTATATATGCACACATAATTTTTCGAATCAATAACTCGTTTTATGTTTAAATAACCGAATATCATCAAAACTACTAGCTGGAGAATTATTACGTAAAGATAAAATTGGTGCAAAAAGTGATGTTGCTAAGTTTTAAAAGATGATAAGTCTTGTGGTTAGATATTATTCTTGTATTAAGAAGCTTATTATAATAAATTCTTTTTCTGTAATTTCTATTCAACATCGTTTGATAAAAAAAAATTTTACAGGTTAAGTTCGGGTTTGGGTTGAAATTTTTTGTGTATGTACAAGTCGGAAGATTTTATAATTTTTTAATGGCAGATTGGGTTCGGTTTGCAAATTATAAATTTGTACGAGTTCGAGTTGAGTATTCATTCAGTTCGGGCCTCTAACACAGAACAACTCTTCCTCCAAAAAAAAAAACCACTATGCGTATAAATATAATAATTTTTTTTACGCATTTATCAATAAAAGAAAAGATTGATTTTAAAAAATAAAAAAATGATACAAGTATGAGCTATTAAAAAAAATGGTGTCGCCTTTTAAAAAAAAATTTTTTTTGAAACGCCTTCCCAAGTATTGTAAGAGCCATTCTAAATATATGATAAATTTTACTTTTTCCATCAAAGTTGTAGATCGATTAGAATTAAAATTAAATTTAACGGTCCAAACGTCTTTGACACCCAGATCTATAGATCTGGCAAATTCAAAGAACAGATTGTTTTTCTAAATTAAGTAGAATTATAATTCGCGTGTAATCTCTAAAATTAGTTGGTTATTTGATTGATCAGATGATATGACGGACAATAATCTTGAGGCATTACATTTTTATTATATTGCAATAATTATAGTAGTAATAGTATATTATAAAAAATTTAATTTAATAATTTGATCTGATTTATTTATTGAATAATTTTCAATACAGTAGTAGTAATAGTTGTAGTTGCGGAATAGTTCGTAACCGATTAAAATAACCATCAGTTTATTTATTGGATGAAACTGTTGAAACCGTTGAAACCATTGACCCATTATCAACTGTAGACATTAATGGATCTGCTGACCCAATAGAATTCTTGCGCTTCTTGAAAGGTTGTTCGCTAGATGAATTTGATTTATTCTATTAAGAGCCGTGGTGCTAATCAACAAGTGATCATGAATTAAATTGCAAAAAAAAAAAATTTTCAAAAAACACAATGAAATTATTATCATCACCTTCCCAGACTTTGGCCGTTTAAGATTGTTAGGGCGTTGTTCTCCATCCTCAAAGACTTCAGGCGGGAGCTGAGAACTGGATATCAAAGGTGATAACTGTAGTTTCAAGTAATAAAATAAAATAGTTTAAAGTTTCACATACCGTTTGACATGTTTAACTACAAGCTTTGTGTTTTTATCATCATATTTATCCCAATTTTGAACCAATTGGATAAATTCCATTGTTGGCCAAGAAATATCTAGTTGTCTAGGTTTTGTAGAGCCAGCTTAAAGAAAAACAATATATGTATTTAAACTTGAATTTTTTTTTTATTAATAACAGTATTAACAAGTGATTTACCCATAGGCTGTTCTACTTCTAAACCGATGTAAAATGTTGTTGAATAAATAGTTCGTACAAGGGTAGTATTAGAGAGGTTATTTCCATCTTCGGCTCCATTGGAAGTGGGTTTGATATTGACAGGACCATCATCACTTTCTTCACTACTTGACTTATAATTAAAGTTTCCATTAAAAATTTCGTTGGCCTCTTGCTCCATAGTACAATGGTGAATTTTGTCAAACCCCTTCACAAAAGGATGTGCCACGGTCAAATTTTCCACAGTTTCTAATTTGGATATTAAATGACGAATTTTTGATTCAACCGTTCCAGACCTTTTAATAAAAAAATAGTTTATTAAAAAAAAAATACAAAGTATTACCAAGAACGCAAATATAATTGGAATACAATTTACAAACCACATCAATTGTCTTTCAGCTGAATCTGAACATGCTATTATTTGAAGATAATATCGATAATTTTGAAAAAAAGTATGTTTAATAAAAAGATCAGCCCATTTTCCAGTACCAATCATCACTCTATCAGCAATTTCGGCAGCTTTTGAAAAGGAATTTTTTTAAAATTTATTATTTTATAATAATAATATAATAATGCAGTTAAAAAGCATTAAAACAATATATAAAGATTACCTCGTTTAAATTCATCCTCAATTACTTTTTTTGTGGATTTTGTAATATTATGTGTTGCACACATGGAAGGATATGCTGGTGTGATAATTGGCATCAAATGAAATTTATCTCCATGATATAACTATTTATTATAAATTAGTAAAATAAATAAAACCAAGTCATATAATAAAAGTAATCGAATATATATAATATGAAATTTACCTTTGGATTCCATACTCTAACTTGGAGTGGGCCATCTTCTATAGGTTTTAATAGTACAGGTTGCGGCCAATTCCTAAATCAATTTTATTAATTAATGATAATAAAGATAAATTTCATCTATACTATTATTAACTTGTCATTTAAAACATACCATTGATACATTATTCTAAAAAATCTTGATACAATTGCTCCAGCAATTGCATTTGGATATAACTGACATATACGAGCAACCAACATTGCCCAAGCAACGCCACCAAAAAATCCCACAACATTTGAATAAATTGCACGCCCTATTCAATTAATAAATATAGATGCATGACATTAGAATATATATAAAATTATTTAAACAGAGGAATTTTTTTTAATACTTTTTGCCCATAATTTGATACATCTTAATGATGTTCGAAAGGCCGGTATGCTGGGTACAAGTCGTAAAATCTCATCTGTTACTCTAGATCCTATTTTTGTTTATAAAGAACATAATATAAGTCTATCATTATCGTAATTATCGTAATTATCGTAATTAGCACAATTATTAATTATTATTGTCGCTATAACCATTCAAACTTCTAATGCAAACATCATCCAAGTTTTTTAATAATGAGTTTTCTCTTAATTCAAGATCATCTGGTACTTTCGATAAATTTAATTTTGCAAATATAAGATCAATCTGGGGTTTTTTTGAAAAATAAAAAATTGAGTAAATGAATTTTGTTTAATCATGTTGTTAGATAATAAATAAAAGATAACTTACAGGAATATCTTGAAATTTCATTTTAATCACAGGTACATAAGCATCAGTGACAGTCTATAAAATAAAATCATATAATAAACAAATAATCACTTTACTCAATTATTGTTAAATAAATTAAAAAACAAAAATTTATACCGTCAAGTCTGTAACTTCGTTATTTTTTTCAAGAGATTCAGTCATATCAGTAAAGAAATCATCACGTAGCACATGTCTAGGAACCACACAAAGTGTATCAATATCAGATCCTAATAATTTAATTTGATTAAGCAAGTATAAATAAATAAATTCTTCATTATTGCTTTAAATAAATCATTATTATCATTATTAAGAAACTTAACAAACCAGCTCCATGGACTCCTAGTCTATATGAACCAAAGGTAAATATTTTTCCTCCGGCTTCTTTAGCATCTGCTTCAGGAATTTTTTTCTTTTTACTCGTTTGATAAACAAAATCTTTAACAAATTTATCAAGTTTTCCAAGGACAATCTCACTATAAAAGTATAATTTTTTGTTTAGTTGTCACTGTGTTAAATATTTAGAAGTTCTATTTAATTATAGGATCTAACATACCGACGACGGCTCTCATCATCACTTTCAAAAGTGCCTTGAGCTGTGAGCTCTTCAACTAACAAATCTGTGACTTCATATTCTCTTGGAGTAGGGTAATTTAAAGCGACAGGTGGTGTAACGCCAAGATGCTTTTGTTGACTGGTGGAAAGAGGTAGTTGTTAAAAATATTAAATAAAATATTAAATAGTTACTAATTATATATTTTTGGCTTTTCAGTACCAGTCACTTGTTGTGCATGCGCTTGTTGGAGAGAAACAAATGCACTAACGATTTAGTGATGATGCATACCCGTTCGGAAGATCAGACATTTCTTCAAAATAAATTAAAGTAAGTATTCAAGATTGTATTGTTAACTTTTATTGCCTCCGAAAGTGATTTGGAATCGTAAAAATACTTTTTTTTAAATCTAAAATTTTTTTTTTTTAAAAAATTAATCTTTTATATCGATTATATTACTATTAAAATAAACAATTACATGGGGCATACTGCAACAAAACCAGACAAAGTGAACATTGGTATTACCAAGAATTTCAGGGATCAAAATTTAGTAAT